TCTCTTTCTCATTTTAAATTCATGATATTTGTTTATAAGACCTCTCTTTCTCTCTTTTTCCATTCATCACTTTGTCTAGTGTAATGTACAGACACATAACATATAAAGGAAATTATACACCAGTTTTACATGAATTCATTTGCACTTTATTTACTGCTTTACATTCATATACTTTTTTTTTTCGTGAATGTAATCTAATCCTTCAATGTCAGAGAAGTAATACAAAAGATACAGGAGTATGTGTATGCATAAATAGTATATAAAGAAGAAATATGTAGTAAAAGTGAAAGCAAACAATAGTAGAAATTTGAACAGATAATTTGACAGTGTGTTAAGATTTAGATGCAAGAAATGACTATAAGAAATTTTTATTTGAAAATACATGCACATGTAGATAAAAAGAGATCTGAACATAGGCGGATTCATGGGCGCAGAGGCGTGCACCGCACTTTACTTTGGAGATAACGAACTGAATACACATAATAATGGATGATACGTGAAAATATTTTTCTTCAGCGAGTAACAATATTTCACGTATTTCGCGAAAATTGATCATCCAATATTATAATTATTATTTAGATACTCCACAGAGATATTGTGATTTATTCACCATTTTTTATAATATACTAGTACATGTACTTGTAAACTGCATCTTGGCAATTGAAGCTTGAAACGAGTGCAAATATGAAATTTCCCAAGCATTTATGTGGTGCTGGTGCACAACTAACATGAAAAGTTAAAAATGTTTGAATTTCAAGAAAACAGTAGGCCTACCGTAACACTAATATAATCATTTACCTGTACAAAGTCGAACATCTAGAATTTACATATCCCAATCCAAGTTGTTACTTGAAGTTATTGTGACGTTACAATTATTGAAAACGAAGTAGTTACTTGGATGGTGCAATTTCATATGGTGACGTCACGTTTAATAGCTGCATGCGCACAATCACTAATAATGGCGTGGCTTAAGAGGAAAAATAAAAAAGAGCAACATAGGTTTTATTGTTACTTCACGTTAGACTAGACTCATTCAAGCAGTTTCATTGCTATTTACCGGGAAAATGTCCAGGCCAGGGTGTAAAACGCAAAGTCGCGGCCAGGAGCCGGGGGGCGTTATTTTTTTATGCGGCACAGATCGGGGCATGGCGCGTGTTAAACCTATGGGAAGTACGTTCTTTCCCTTCTGAATAGTGTCTGCACGTACGTGAGACTAGTCATGTTCGCTAGCGCATTAGCGCTGCGAAGAAGTTTGTTTATTCATCGCGAACTATGTGTTTAGATAACATTCCTCTTCGTTTATTGTGATGTTCTCCTTATTGACGTGCTGCCTCCTCTTCAGATTTCCAATTTGATTTTAATTGTTGATGTAATGAATTTCCATGCGGTAGTGGATTACATGTAACACTATTAAAAACAGACCTCTACTACTTATATAGCCTATAATCTAGGCGGAGTGCCGAGCTTTTTTCTTTGCTGCTAGACTAACCTTAAGCAGAACGTCTGATACGGTTCGTAGTCTCGCCGTATCAGACGTTCTGCTTAAGGTTAGTCTAGCAGCAAAGAAAAAATCTCGGCACTCCGCCTAGATTATAGGCTACTACTTATACTGTCTAGTACGCACACGACCAGTATTAGTCTGTAAATCAAGACCCCTTTTTAAAAAAAGCCCCAATCTGTGCCGCATAAAAAAATAACGCAGCCGGGGGGGGGGGGGGGGGGGTGGTCAACCTAGCTGGAACGGAAACCATTTTTTTCTTCAGTTAAATAATAATTGACAAAACGTACAGAATTACAGTATTAGGCAAATATAGTTTTATGTCATTTATAAAGTAAACAGTGTATATTTATAGAAGTCCTGAAGATTAAGGATGTTTATTATTGTGCATATACTATTAACAATCTTGGATTTTATGCAGCTTGTGTGGGTGACAAAAGTTGGTCTGTAGAATTTGATTTAGCCTAGCTTGCATAAAAGTTACAAGACACTATTTATTGACTTGCTGAAAAGGTTAAGCTTTGCATTTCTGGCTTGGTATTTTGACTAAGAATTGAAAGAGAGTGTTTATTCATTTGAAGAGTTAAACTCGGAAAGGCTTGCTGTAGTGCAGGTGTGGATTACATATGTACATTACAGATAGTTTATTTTGTATAAAGTGTGATCTCTAGATTATTACTGGGAAAAACCTGTGCCACTGTGGTTAAAACAATTCTTGGTTGCATAGTTTTAGAGCACTGTCAGATGATATTTAAGTTTAATTCATCAAACAGTGTTTAATTGAATGAAGACATTTTATAAGACAGTTTTTTTTAAGGCCAATTTTTATAGGCGAGCAGAAATATGCAAATTAAGTGCCTGTCAAAGTCAGTGGAAGGTCATACAATACATTTAAAGTGACAATCCAATATTGAGGTTTTTAGCACGAATTTATGATATGCAAATAGATGTGAATAATCATGCTTGTGTATGGAGACAAGATAGAGATGTTAAACAGTTATTTTGGTTTATGCAAATTGGCAGTAATCTGTTTAAAGGAAAGTCAGGTCAGTTTGAGAAACTCAGAAAATATGAGTTTATCAAAGTAATGCATGTTAGAAAATGCATTAGGTTTTGTAGCCATTGGTTACTCTGATTTTGTGTTAGTTAAAGGACGAGGTCAAGATTGACAGTTTACAAAAGCAAAATGTGTTTAAATGAATCTTTATAGATACAGTTAGTTGGTTTCTTCAGATATTTTATATTATATCATGCATTCTTGTGTAACATGAATGATGTTCTAAATCTGTCATTGTTATTTCATCTGTTTTTACAGATCGGGAAAAAAAAGCTTAACAGCTTTGTATCTCCATTTACAGCTGGACTCTCAAACTTTTATTTTTCCCTTCCCTCAACTATTCAGCTGTGATGTACGTTTACACATTTGATATGTACATATCAAACTATGAAATCCTTCCTTGGAAGTTAGTGCAATCATTTCATTTCATTCAAGTCTACACAGAAACTGGAAACCTGGGGGCGTTTCATGAAACAATAAAGTCGATGGTTTTCACCGACTAATATCATTTTTACCAACAATTCTATAGTCACTGACTATTTTCAAGGCCTCTGATTGGTCAAATTTAGTCAGCGTTGACAGTTGTCGGCTGACAAATGTTGATGTAACACCCCCCATTTGATTGCTTCATGATTTCATATTCCTTTCAGGGGCTACTTTACTTAAAATGTGAAAGACATACCTTTGAGATCATGATTCAGAATCATTGAGACATAAATGAAAGTATGCCAAATAAGTGTACTCTTGTGGATTGTAATAATTAAATTATTGAAGTTTTACATGTTTGTCTAGTTGATGTGCAATTGTATTGAATTTGTGCAATGTGGAGTGTGATTGTGTAAACTGAACAAGAGTGTCTATGTAGAGACCATTTCACAAATGTATTCAAGCAATTCAGAATTGCATTTGAACGTCTCCAAATTCATACATTTAAGATTGTTAGATATAGCAGCATTATCAACCTGTGATTCTACTCCTGGCTTTTCAGATACAATACACTGTGAATGATTCAGTCTCTCATGATCATGCAGCGTTGGGGGTGGGGGGGGGGGGTTGGGCAGTAGGTGATATAAAGAAGATCAATTTAGCAATTAAGCTAGGGAGCAAGTACTGAGAGAGATAGAGAGAGAGAGAGAGAGAGAAAGAGGGGGTGAGAGAGAGAGGGGTAGAGATAGAGTTGGGGAGGGAGAGACAGGAAACAAAGAATGAGAGAGTGAGGGAGATTAAGGTAGTTGATAGGGACGGGGAAAAGGGTGAGGTCATGAGAAAGGGGATTAGGTGATGATGTAGACAGTGACAGGATTAGAAGGAGATTGAGGAATGCCGTGGAGAGCAGAAGGAGGATGTAAAAAAGAATTTAAATTTGAGATTTGGAGTGAGGGTTATAGAATGGAAGAGGAGCTATGAAATTACAGAAGAAAAGGACAGGATAGCTGCTGCGATGGGAGGCCATACAGGGGGTGGATATGTATTATTATATTCATAACTCCACAATAATTGTTAATTGTATGAAACAGCAAATTGCCAAATATCATGGATTCAAACCACTGGTGCTCTTAAATAATGAACATTACAAAGCCCCCCCCCCCCTCCTCATTCCCCGCTCTCCTTAGCATCCAATGTTGGCAGTTTTCTTCAAGACCCGACCTGGGTCGACGCCCCTTTCTTTAAAAATAAACTTTGTTTTTCATGCACATAATCAGCCTTTGCCTGTCCACATTTGTTCATATACAAGACTAATATTTACGCTATACATGTATAGGGGGTTGTTGTTATTATGTGAGGGAATTTTGCAACCAATAAAGAAGACATCAATTTTGGAGTACGGCTGAAACTATGATTTATAGAGCACCTGTAAGAGCCAAATTATGGTATTTCCTGTGGTCCATGAAAAGAAGCACAGACACTGCTTCTCGGCACAAGACCTCAAAGATTACTATATTCCAAAAGCCATTTGTTATAAATCATCCTAACTATAACTGTGGGAAGTCATTTACAACATTCGTCGTTTTGAGTACAGGTTTATACTTCTTGTTTGTACATGTCTATTGTATCTCGTCTGGTATGTCACATTCTATTCTCCCCCTCCATCTCTCTCTCTTCTTCTTTCTCTTCTATTTTCATCTCTCAACTATCTTCCATTTTATCTCTTCCCCCCTCGGGCTTTCTCTCTCCCTTCTTCTTTATCCTCTGTTTTCATACCATTCTCCCCCTCTCTCTGGTTCTTCTTCTTCTTTCTCTTCTATTTTCACCTCTCAACTATCTTTCTCTTTATCCTCTCTTTATACCTTCTCTTAATCTTTATCTTCTGTTTTATATCTCTTCCTCTCTGGCTTTCTCTCTCCCTTCTTCTTATTGTTTCTCATCTATTTTCATTCCATCCTCCCTCGCTTTAAATACAGCTTGAACAAAGAGAATATAACGTAACACACATTGCAAGATGGGTGTTTACACTTTATTCACATACAAAAATATATACTCTTATATACATTTGCAAAAATAAATTCAGATATAAAAAAACGTTTGTGGAAAGACGTGAATGAATGCAATGTGATTCCTCAGCTGAGAACAGTATACATGTATATATATATATATATATATATATTTACATAGTCAATACATTCCAGATATCAATAACGCGTTACAGCAGTCCTGCAAATCGATGAACATTGGAAATATAACAAAAAGAGGGATTCACACTTTGCTTTTAGATGATTCCAGATTTTATCAAGGCAAGATCAACAATGCTTTAAATAAATACAGCTCGAACAAAGAGAATATAACATAACACACGTTGCAAGATTCCACTTCTATTTCCCATATTTAGGTGTACTGCACACAAACTGGTAAATCATTACAACTCAGGTAATAATGGAAACAATCATTACAATATAGACATAAATGAACATATATTTATAATAGAGTAAACATTGATATTATGTAATGGTAAAAACACTGTACAGGAGCAATGGATGTTTGAAATAGAAATTGAAAGAAATGGTCATTGTATATAAGAATAAACCTTTGGCAACCTATAAGCTATTACATTGGTCTATATCCTATTCAGATCTACTGATCACAGACGAATATAAACATAACTTACATTGCATCATTGTGATGGGAAATAGATACACAGTCTAATGATACTAAATAAAACAACAATAATCCTGTAAATCGAGAGAAGTGTTCCATCAAACGCCATTTTCCAAACCATTTGATTAAAGTTAGAAAAACATGTTCAATATCAAAAGCAAGAATTTATTGGATACAACAGAAATAAGACTAAAACTTGTCTAGATCAAGTATACACTTTCTACACTCAATATTATCAACAATCTTTCTTGATAATGGATGTATTGTCGGTTAAACAGGAAAAAGTTGATACAAATTACTTTACCCGTAGACAATGAAATAAATCCTGGTATACAGGAAAGCTCCTTTGAATTCTTACAGAATACATGTATCACCGTGATGAAGGATATATCAAAAGAACCTTACGGATTAGATTCCTGATGACCTTGTTATGATTGTGCAATGCATTATATTATAATCATCATTACAGTATAGCCAATATGAGAAAACTCAAACCAGTTGGAGTTGGTATTAAACAATCAACAGAGAGTTTGGATTTGTTCAAATCCACTTTGGTTCAGTTTGGTTCTTTTCATATTTCATATTTCAGGTTACACATTTTTAGCTTTATTTACAAGAAATGTAATGATAGTAACAGTACAGACGTATTTTGAATACATGTAAGTTCATAAAATATATCAAATCACTTTGATTTTTTGGTAGTTACTTGTAAATTAAGGACTTTAAAAGTAAGATTGGAAATGAGGAAATGAAGATGCCTAACATAGCTTGCTGTTTGTAGGCTGTATATTGTATGCTGTAGGTTGTATTGTATAGATTGATTTAACATAATAATCCATCCTATTTCCATCACCAGGAAACCTCTTTTTTTTATTATATTGAATGTTGAGAGCACACAAGGCGTCGAATCTTTGTTTATCTTGGAGTTATATTCATTGAATTGGTTTGGTTTATTGCAAAAATACATCAAACAAGCAGCTTGCAGGCTGAAAATGTTCAGTTTACAAACAAAAATTAAAATATAAACATATATAAACATATACAAAACTAAAATACATATTGTACAGGGAGTCAACTTTTGCATAAATTAAAATGAAAAGTATCAAGACAGACAGAGTATAATCAATAATTGCTTAAGATACTGTATTCCATACATGTTAACTCTAATGATCCTTCAGTAGTAATTAGTTATTTGGGTAGCCTGGTTACGTCCACATTCGACAGGTTTCATTTTCAAGGCCGTAGTAGTCTGCTGCCATCACATGGTCTGATGAGGGTCAGCTAGCTTCCAACGTGTACAAAACGTTGATACGTTGTTACTTGACGTTGTTGCTTGATGGCGCAACCACATATCACTCGAGCATTATCTTCCCATTCATCACCGCTATATAAGAATACAAGAAATCATTTAAACATATATAAACTAGGTGTAAATGAAAAGAATATAAAAAGTACCATTCAAAGAAACAATGGATGATTTGTTTTTAAATTTGGCAATTGTAATTTCTCTGATATTGTGAATTAAATTAATAAATTTAATCTTCCGGAGATTGTAATTTTTGTTTTGTCAGATTTCATATATTTGTGTTAATGAATAGATCATTTACAATCATTTTTAGAGATGTTTGTCTAATTTCATTTAACCTTCAGTCAGTAACTAAAAGGTAAGGCCTTTGTTGTATTGTGGTATCGCCCTTTGCGACCGACCCAAAAATGTTAAAAATCTACGGTCGGCTTTTTATTACTTTAAAAAAAAAAAAAATATTCAATGAAGAAAAAATTATGTATTTTGTTTGTTTAAATGGGATATAAATGCTTAAAATCATCAAATTATTCCCAAATTCTCACTAGTGTTCTGCCCTAGTTTCAAAATCTTGCTAGCATAAATAAATAGACCCTATCCTCGTGTATTTGTATATACCATGCAGTGAGATCAAACATTTATGTATTTCAATTGTTTGAATTTCTTGTCAGATTTGACTCATTTCAGACTCAAAAAGTGTACACTGGGAACAATCCCTAGAGCTGAAACATTAATGAAGAGCATATTCTATGAAGTAGGCCAGTTTAAATACAAAAATTTGTAATAGTGATTTGAACCTCTTGTATGCAAAACTGTCAGGCTGTCTTTTTCTGTGTCAGTTTCGGTCCCTTCTTTGGTTAGTAAAGAGACCACTTTGTGCCCGGGACTACCTGTCAAATTTGTCAACAATCTTCACATTGCTAGCAAGTTTTACAGGTAGTTGAAAATAACTTCATCAGCTGGGAAGCAGAGAGTGTTGTCTCAACACAACATTGTAGACCATGGTTTATTATGAGGTGAAAAGATATGAATGAAATGATGTCGCTGAAACACATGTATTAAAGCATTCAAAACTGAGAAATATCAGGCAAAGAGGGAAAAAAGCAACCCCCCCCCCCCCCCAAAAAAAAAAAAAAAAAAAAAAAAAAAAAAAAAATGACCGACTGACCCAGGTGCTGGCACCTAAAGGCCAGTAAGGGCAATACTACATTTAGTTGTTAGGCCTAATGGATTCAATCATACATGTATATTCAAATTGGAGAGATATTGATAATTAATATCTATATAAGGCTTCCAAGTGGTACAATAAATCAGTGTATTCTATTTCTTTAGCGCAGTACCCGGATGACTGACCAATATTGTTTTTGTATTGCTCAGTTATCCGGGAACTTTAACTATTGATATCGATATGACACACAAAAAAGAAATATTTACTGAGGTAAGTAAAATTTTGTTATTTCGCTATTCAGCCTAATAATGATCATAATAATATTGTTTGGCTTTGTTTTTGTGTGATACACAAATATATTGTAACGACACCGGAGCTCTGTCGAATACTCCCCAGCAGCTTATCTTGTCAGGATGCCTTCTGCTGGTATGTTTTCCTAGTCCGGTACCAATTTCGCCGTGGATCCGTTTGGCAGAGATATACTGCCCCGTTGACCTTGCACCACCTCTCGACCACCGTCCAGTCGACACTACCAGACCGTTTACAGGTCTGTACTTCACCACCGTCTTCTACCAACCGTTGTACCGTCGTGTACCACCAGCCGACCAGTCCGCTTCTGCACCTTTCAAACGTCTATACTAGTCTGCTTGTGCATGCAACTCCAATTGGCCGCACCAGTTTGCTTCATGCACCTTTCAGACGTCTATACCAGTCTGCTTGTGCATGCAACTTCCATTGGCCCAGGGAGGTGAAAGAAAAGGAGGCGAAACTCTTGTAATTTATTCAAACGCATTCTTGAGTTCTAAAGCGTAACAATGGGATGTGTAACATTCCACTTGGCTTTGAAGTTCCATGCTCCGAACCGCGCTTCCACTGCGGAGACTTTCGGAAGCCAGGCACCAGTTTTACATTTATTACAAAATATTAAATTACCGGCAAAATTTCAGTGTAAATCAAAAACTTTATATGGGGATTTTATTGGGAATAGTGCATCAAACAAATTTTCAAATTTAGAACTCCGTCCTTCCTTTAATTTGCGTGCCAGAGTTGGTAAAAGAAAAATTACATCCTGTCAAAAACTCAATATTTTAGGATGATGCGCTAATTTGTGCATGCTTTAATGTCCCGTTATTTGATCCATGATTTACAATCTTCAATAACATTAAGTTTGCTAATGCGTGTTTTCGCGTGTTTTTTGTATTTTTCAAGTTTAAAAAAGGATGAAAGTACGCAAGTTTGTGTTCGCTTGTTCTACTCTTTACACATTCAACAATGGATGAGAAATCATTGAAAGGGACAGCGAACAGTTGCAGTGATACCATTTTCTGATGTAGGAATTCTAACCCCTGAAATTTCATGCGCTCATTTATCTCACCACCTGGTCAACAGTTGCAGATTAGCGCATAACTTTTCGGCGGCTTGGAGCATGGGGTCAAAGGAGAGCGGCTTGATTCCAGTCCTTCTCTATCACGTCCCTGATTGGCCGCACCAGTTTGCTTCATGCATGCACCTTCAAACAACCAGACCGTCTGTCTTTGTACAGTCAGCTTACTCGACCATGCCACTGGCTCTGCTACGCAGTAAATCCCTACCAGCCGTCTAACTCCAGACCACCGAAAGAGCAATCCCTGGTATCGTCTAATGCTAGAACGCAAAAGACCCAACAAACACAACCTAAGATCAGAAATCAGTCTTAGGCTTCCTCATGGAAAGACATGCAAACGATCATTTCAATCACTTTGTTTGCACGCAACATTTATTGGGCAAATATCCCAACATAGTCTGATCACCTTACAGTGTAAGTGTGCCCGGTGGGCGACGGCAATCATGTAGACTATGACAGGAAACTCATTGACACTAGAGACACTTGATTTATATACACATTTCTTAGACATTTGTTATTCTCGTTAGGTTTCCAAGAATTACATAAACATTGATATAACTTAATTTTCCAATATCAGATTGAAACAAACCATATATCAAATGAAAGCACTAGTTTTAATCTATAAAACTAAACAGAAGAAAACAAGTAATTATTCATGGTAAAAAAGTAATTAGACTAAAACTGTCGAAAACATGCACGATCAAACATTCTTGAAATTGACACGTGACTATACCATCGTTTATTTAACTTGAATTACGCCATCTACGCCGAAATAGCTATCTACGAAATGAAACCAATTTCGTGACACAACTCCCTGATTTTCCTTAGCTCGATCCCCGAGCGATATCTAACAACAATCTACAAACTGCATATAACACATTTACAGAAAATAACGTCCATGGGCATCTAGGTATCCTTCCCACCGGAACCAGCGGTTCTAAGTTCATGCAGTACTGACTGAATTCTTTAACGAGAACTATCAGTGTCAGTTTGAGTTTCAGCATTCTTACTAGCAATTTCAGTCCACTCACTAGCCCATGCAGTCTCCGACGCCATTTTCCTAGATGAATATCGCAAGTTAAGTGGTGAAGGGGACCTTTCGTCGTTATCCAACTCTTCTCCTGGTTCGGGCGTAGATTGTCGGCTATGTCGAGGGGAAGCTTCCGATCCATCATGCTGTGGAGACTCCGGGGTCTTTTGACATGACGATTTCGTCAGGTCTCTTTGGGGCGATTTGGATTTTCGTCGCGATGAGCGGTAACGATCGACGTGGTGACCTCCCTCGGGGTCGGTCCAATCTTGGATCATCACGTGGCGGCGACCGCCAGTCCATTCTTACATGACGCCACGATGCATCAGTTTTTTCAGACGTCCCTGTTATTGGCGTGGAAGTGGGTTTGCATCTTGGCGAAGAAACAGGTGTTAAGCTGTGTTTTCTCACGGGAACCACAGCTACATCGTGGGCTCCCTGATGCCGCTCCATCTCCGTCTTCCTACCCGTGCCATAATCGCATTGGTCGCAACGATACTTCAGGATATGCACTTCTCGCTTGTGTCTTTGCAAAGAGTCTTTCTTCTCATAACTTTTGGTACAAGAGTCACATTGAAAGAAGTGGGTAGTCGTACGTCGGGCATCAACGTCCTTGTCTCCCTGCTTGTCGGGTGGCATGTTTCTGCTTGCACTGGTTTCAATGGGCATCGTCTGATTGCACATTTCTGTGCCCACTTCTTCCAGCGCTGACAATGAGGCAATGGCAGTGCCTGCCTTTGTGATCCCCTGTTCCCTTGTTGAATTGAACACCCTGACAGGCAATTAACACATCTTCATCTGCCTTCACGACAGATCTGGCAACGATGGGTCCCTTTTTCCATAACTCGGTTGGGTTCACAGGAGATTCTACCAGTCCTTCACACAGTGCTATCTTTTCACCTGTTACTCTGTTTGCTAGCACCATTTCGTGTCCTGGAGGAATTGAGTATTCCTCCCCCGCTACTATCCTTCTACAGAATGATTCTCCTTCACTATCTAGGCATGGAATTATGCCCCATTCGGTCCTCAATTCCATCTTCTGGCAGTCAAGTACGGCATTAATTTGAACTAGGAAATCTAGCCCAAGAATGCCTTCGTTCTTGAGGCTGGCCACAGTAACCATTGTAGTGACAAGTGAATCTCCGATCTGCACTTCCAGCCTTGATTTACCTCTGGTCCTCAACGGGGTCCCATCTGCTTGTAGTACCACGCTGGTCACTGGTAATAACTCAGGTCTTCTATTATCCTCTATCTGGTCAAACACCTTATCTGAAATCAAAGTGTTGGTGGCTCCGGTGTCGATCAGTAATTTCAAGGACTGTCCATTGATTTTCCCTTCCAGGAAAAGTCCTTTCCTGTTAGGATCCTGAGACGAACCAACTCTGGTCTGCTCCTCTTCATCTGTCATCCCATTTGCAGTTGCCCACTGCATGTTTGTATTTGCTTTCCTTGCTGGTGGTGGTGCTGTTCCTCCCCTAACTTTCCTTGGATAAGGACATTGGTTCCTCCAGTGTCCCAATTCATTATAGTTGAAACACCGGTTATCTTCCCGTTCCGAGACTTTAGTTGGCATGGTTTGTTCCGGTCTCCTATCTGGTACATCTGGTTTAATCGTATTCCTCCCATTTCTCATGTCTAAGGCATCTAATACCTTCTTTACTATCTCATTGATAGTAGGATTCCTTGGTTGCTGTTCTCGGATGGCTGAAACCTCACACTCTTCCAGTGATCGACTGTACGTGGTTGAACGCTTCACTTCGTTTCTCTGACCCTCCATCCTCAGGAAGGCCTCTGTATTTAAAGCTGCTTCCACGGCATCATCAAGCGTGCGAGGTTGAGCACGGAACAATCCTTCTCTTATTTCTGGTGTTACTACGGCATCCAGAAAATGCCCGCGCGCTAGTCGGTCTTGTCTTTTTTCATCGAACTCGGGGTAGGACAATGCACACAGCTCCCGTATCGTTTGTCCTAATTCCTGGAGACTTTCCTTTGGTTGCCGACGACGCTGTCTCAACTCTGCTAGGTATACCTCAGCTTTACCTCCAAGACCAAACCGGTTCATGAGTCTGTATACCAACTCGTCGTATGTCAAATCCATTCCAGGCTGTTGGGTTAACAACTTCACAGCAGATCCTCTCAAACTTGCAGCAAGAAACTGCACTGCTTCTACTTTGGTCCATCTGTTTACTCCAGCACATGCCTCAAAATGGTGCAAGTAATCCTCGACAGGACTGCGACCGTCAAATCTGTCTGGTACCATAATCGTCTGCCGATTAATGCATCATTTGCCCTCCCCACATCATGCATAGGTGGAGAGAAAAGCGGTGGTGTAATATGAACTCCAGTTCCTGCACTGGGCAGCCGTCTACTTTGTTCTCGGGGCGTTGAACTAAATCTAACCCGCTGTGCCGCTGGCATCTGTGAATCTGCAGTTGGTCCTGATGCAGTTTGTCCACTCAGAGTTGGGGGAAATGCTTCCTGGCGGCCTGGTTCTGGGTCTGCAACTGGTACCTGACTCATCGAAGCACGTAGTTGCTCCATCATTTGATCTACTTCTGTCATACTCCTTTCTAAGTGCTTCATTATTTCTCCTGGCGTTGGTCGATTCTGCCTATTTCTTCCTTGTGCCATTGTCACTGGATCCCACTTCTGACACCACATGTAACGAAATCGGAGCTCTGTCGAATACTCCCCAGCAGCTTATCTTGTCAGGATGCCTTCTGCTGGTATGTTTTTCTAGTCCGGTACCAATTTCGCCGTGGATCCGTTTGGCAGAGATATACTGCCCCGTTGACCTTGCACCACCTCTCGACCACCGTCCAGTCGACACTACCAGACCGTTTACAGGTCTGTACTTCACCACCGTCTTCTACCAACCGTTGTACCGTCGTGTACCACCAGCCGACTAAACCAGTCCGCGTCTGCACCTTTCAAACGTCTATACTAGTCTGCTTGTGCATGCAACTCCAATTGGCCGCACCAGTTTGCTTCATGCACCTTTCAGACGTCTATACCAGTCTGCTTGTGCATGCAACTTCCATTGGCCGCACCAGTTTGCTTCATGCATGCACCTTCAAACAACCAGACCGTCTGTCTTTGTACAGTCAGCTTACTCGACCATGCCACTGGCTCTGCTACGCAGTAAATCCCTACCAGCCGTCTACTCCAGACCACCGAAAGAGCAATCCCTGGTATCGTCTAATGCTAGAACGCAAAAGACCCAACAAACACAACCTAGATCCTAACCATGGTCGTCACCTAAGATCAGAAATCAATCTTAGGCTTCCTTATGGAAAGACATGCAAACGATCATTTCAATCACTTCGTTTGCACGCAACATTTATTGGGCAAATATCCAAACATAGTCTGATCACCTTACAGTGTAAGTGTGCCCGGTGGGCGACGGCAATCATGTAGACCATGACAGGAATATCATGAACACTTGATTTATATATACATTTCTTAGACATTTGTTATTCTCGTTAGGTTTCCAAGAATTACAGAAACATTGATATAACTTCATTTTCCAATATCAGATTGAAACAAACCATATATCAAATGAAAGCACTAGTTTTAATCTATAAAACTAAACAGAAGAAAACAAGTAATTATTCATGGTAGAAAAGGAATGAGACTAAAACTGTCGAAAACATGCACGATCAAACATTCTTGAAATTGACACGTGACTATACCATCGTTTATTTAACTTGAATTACGCCATCTACGGTGCGGAAAGCTGGACTCTCTACACAAGTCAAGTAAAGAAACTTCACGCGTTCATGATGAGACACCTTCGAGCAATCATGAGAATCAGTTGGAAGGACAAGGTGACCAACAAAGAGGTACTAGAGCGAGCAAACCTTCCTTCTATGGAGGACCTGCTCATCAGGAAGAACCTACGATGGACAGGCCATGTCATCAGGATGCCCTCTGAGAGGTTACCAAAGCAAGTACTATTCTCGCAACTACCCGCTGGCGAAAGAGGGATTGGTCGTCCACGGCTTCGCTACAAGGACACGATCAAGAGGAACCTTAAGCGGAGGCAAATTGAAACCAAGACTTGGACAACTGCTGCAGGCCAGCGAGCTGTATGGAGAACAGCTGTAAAGTGAAAATGAAGGCGGTCATTGTCGCTTCGCGACAGACAGCTACTACTACGCCGAAATAGCTATCTACGAAATGAAACCAAATTCGTGACAATATATCATCTTTGACTTGTCCAATATTGTCATAGCTTGAGCAATATATTCTTGTATCACACTCAAAGCCATCCGATATTATATAATGATCATATGCTAGGATATCATTTACTTTAGTAAAACCAAAATTAGATTTAAAATTGATTACACAGGCCCTAATAATTCTAGAGTATTTGTAGACATTAGTGAGGTATTCTTCCCCGAAAGGTACTACAAGTATTACATTTCAGGCAGGGAATATTTGACACATGATGTCACTATCATAACCAAGGTAGCAGGCAGAGGAAGAGGGGACACATATAGGACTACACTCCGTACCTATCACCCATCTTAATGACATCATTGCTTCATGAAATGTTATTTGTTGTTGCTTTTATTTCCAGAAGTGAGAATATACAGGCAGTTTGATTATTAAAAAATGCAGGCCACAAACAACATTATTCATCTTTAACATGTACAGAAGAAAAAAAATAGAACTCACGGATATTGCATTATTGTAAAAAGCATGTTTTATCTATCTACCTTTTGTCACCTTGCTGAGTGGAGTTTAGTTTTGCTAAGATGCATGCTACATGATAACTTAAAACATTTCTTCAATTAGACCTATATAGATAATGGACATTTTCCATCTTTTTATCAGATATTAAGGTCATATCGCTTTTTTTTTAAAGAGAACAAAGTACGATAAGCGTTTTTGCCTTATACATCATGCAAGTGAAGGAAAAGTACTTTTTCACTAAAAATGTTCATATAGTTGTGAAGAGTCTTTTTCTCTATGTTTGTTGTTTGTTATATTTCAGTTTTCGGATATCATTTCACAGATCAAGAACAAACCTATTGTTAGACATGAAAATTTTAATGAGGCCAGAATAAACACATAAAAGACAGCTTAAAATATGTGCATTTTTTATTCTTAAGTACCGATTGGGCGGAGTTAAATATGGATAATTAAAAAAACAGCCTACTTTGAATCAATGGATTGTCAGAAAAAGGGAGAAGAATCAATCGGAGGATGGCCATTTTATCTAGTTGTATATCTTACCCAAGTATGCTCCACGGTGACAGTCAGCTTGCCTTCACTGTTCACCTCAGAAACCAATGGATCCAGACCCGTGTTGGTAGGACACCTCCGTAGCCTATAGTAATAAAACAGTACATTTCGGGGGCTCAATTCATGATCTTTTGAACAAACCTGACGAACGACACTCTCTTAAAAAGCCATCAGATATGTATGCTAGCTATGTGGTGTGAGAATAGATTACAATTACACATCCAACCTTGCATAATGTTGCCCTGTATTTATATTGCATGACTGCAAATAACCATGGTATCAAAGTTGTGTATGTAGGAGATAAAGTATTGATTTACATTTATAATAAGAAAATCATATTGATACCTAAAATGAAGAGATCATGAGATCAACTATTGATAAATCCCCTATTCAGCACCCCATCATCTAATCTTTTAGACAACCCACTCATGTATGCACTTTCTTAACCATCTGAGATTCATTTCAAAACCTTAATGCAGCTACCGCTGACCCCGAATGAAATCAAATTCAGTGACAATAAAGATACGTTGCTAGTTGGGCAGAGTATTTTGCCAATTCAATTTCCTTTTGATATCAAGAACCAACTGTGTTAAATCAACACTAGTTTTCCTCTTATGAGATCAAACATAATCAGGTATCCCATTTTTATAATTACCATGAAAGCATACGGCATAAGATATATGCTTAATACAGGTTTGTATCGTTCCGTAAAAAAAACTTAAAACCATCTCTTTTTAGAGAGTTATATTGTATGATAGCAAAAGAGGCAATGATAAGGAGAATGAAAGAGAGGAAATGCTGGAAACAGAGTGGAAGGCAGGAATCAAAGAGAACTTACAAAAGAGAAAGAAAAATAATTCAACGAGAGGGACATAGAGAGAGGAAGGAGGGGGGGGGGGGTGGGCGAGAGAGAGAGAGAGAGAGAGGTAGCAAATGAAGATAAGAAACTCACAGCAAAAGGTAAACCGAAATGCATTCCACAATAAATACAAGTAAGAGTTTGATTATACAGTGGAAATCGTTACCCTGGTAAATCAAATGAGACTCACTCTATGCTTGTCAGGTGTGGATGAGTCTTCATGAGTTGGATGACCTCGGCTGCCTTCTCGTTCTTCAGTTTAATCCACATAAAGGATAGCTTGGTGAGTTGAGGACATGATGTTTTTACCGCATCACAAAATGACACAGGATCATTCAGTGTAGTAGATGATCGATACTTATCTCCCTTGATTTGAAGGTGAGTTAGATGATAGAATGGAGTGCAGGCCATTGTAATGATGTCTGATGAGACATTCTCCTCTTTCTGGTAGCTCAGTTTGAGTTTTTTCACTCTGGGACATGATGTATGAAGTCCAAGATTCCACAGGCTGATCACATGCTTACCATCCACAGTAAGCTCATCTACTGAGGTTGGACGAGTCTACAAGAAAGAGCGATGCAAAAAGGCTCACTATATATGATATGAATGGAAACCAATGCTGATGTAAGAAATGATATTGAAGTGTATTGCCCTCCATTTAAATAGAGGTTTGTTTATCATGAGACTTTTTTTCAGTATTTTGGATACAAAATATAAAAAGAGGATTTCTCTCTGTATGGCATAACACATCATGATCGCATTGACAATATGAGTTTTTGTATATCATTACCATTATCGACATCCAAAATTTCTTAATGTTTTTATTCTTTTTCCGCTTTTTCTGAAACCTTCGTTAAATTTTTTCTTTATTTTGTCTGTTTCCACCAACATTATTATTCGAGGGTTAATCCTTCCATTTCGGTGGAAGATGACGGGATTTTAGTATTTATTATCATCTTTTTTTATTGTGATATTAGTTCAGTGTTTATAAGGTCACCTAGACTAACGAAAAAAATCAATCAAATGACTTCACTTTACTGAATTTGATAATGAAGAAAATAAGCAACAGGATTCTCCATGGTAAATAACAAATGGCAATCATTTATCAAATGATATTTAACAAGCTTTAAAAATATGTGCAATGTTAAACTTCATCCCAAGATGAAAAAACTAGAACAGTGCACGTATACATATTTGATAAATAACACCATCCATCGATTTTCTAAACAACCCATAGTATGTCGTTTTAACTTGATTTCAAAACAAAATACACTATCCTTTTGGCAATTCTTTCATCATTCATATTTAGTCTCTTCAGGTTTTTTTCTGAACGCCTTCCTTTTGAGCTTGGAGCAAAAAGAGGATTTTGAATTCAATCTTGGAACAGTAAAGATACAAACCAGTGTCTCTCCATCGTCTATGTCAACTTGTCTGATATCCCTCAAGGTGAGTGACTGGAGGCGTGGTAGCGAGAGAATGGAGAGTAGTCTCCGTGGAGTCATCATGGAAACATCCTTAACACTCAGCGTCTGGATCTGTGCCAAGACAATTTATCCAAAATCAGTTTACACCAAAGTGAAATCCCCGATGTGATCCAATTATTGTCTTTACTAACATAAACACCATTTTAAATCATAGCTAATATCAGATGAATCTGCATCTCAGTAACTTTATCATTCACTGAGTCTGATTATGTTGTCTCAATTTCTGCTGCAGTTTAAAGAAAACAATGTACCGGAATTATAATAAACTAGAAAGCATTTCAATATGCATGGCATGATGTATTTCAAAAGAGGTACTTAAGCTATTGTATCGGTGGGAAGATATTACATCAAAATGATATCTTATGGGATCATATCATTACAAATACCGCGTCTCCAGAAGGTTCAGAATCTTGCAGCAAAGCTGATAAACTTGGCCCGTAAGCGCAATCATGTCGCCCCGTTGATAAAAGAACTACATTGGCTTCCAATCAAGCAACGCATTGTGTTCAAGATCCTGACGGTTGTCTACAAGTGCATCCAAAACAAAGCTCCAGTGTATCTCAACTCTCTCATCGTACCCTACCAATCTGCTCATCCTGGCCTTCGCTCTTGTATTGACAGCCAGGGGCGTACGCAGGGGGGGGGGGGGGGGGGGGGGCTTAAACCCCCCCCCCTCCTTCAGTTTTGTTTTTACGTGTATGTTTTTTGAAGAAAAAAAAACCCTTATGAGTTGTAATTGTTTTGTTTTTTTGTTTGTCCAAAAAAAAAATTAAAAAAAGAAAAATGTCCTCTTACTATTTTTGTTTAGTTTTGTCCGTAGTTTTGTTGTTGTTTCTATTTTGGATATGTTTTTTATAATTTTTTTTTTACAAACGGCTATGAACCAGGGACACGTAGATAGCAAAGAGGGCAAATTTTCCTATCGTGGGAGGGGCATTTGTTCACTTCGAAGAAGGCACTTCCTGTCGGAGGAAGGACACATGTCTCAATTTTGCAAATTGTGGGATGATGTATCATAACCTGACCCCGGTCACGCTACCCCTGTCGGAATGATACACATTTGTTTATTCCCATATATATATTTAAGAAAAGATGTGTTTGTTTTTGCATTATACCCGATTTCACTTTGACCATTGTTATCTAAAGTGAATTGAAAAATATAGCTATCATCACAAGAAAAAATAATGTGTAGTTCTAAAGAAAAATTCTAGAATGACTCAAATGACTGAATGTGAGAATCGATTGAATTTATATAATCATGACACTGAAGTCAATTCTATTCAAATGATTTTACCTTCATGATTAAAAGCATGGTCAGATAACTGTTTTAAAATGAGCGTGGTTTCGACTATTAACCAAACATTATTTTGAAAAAAAGGATGAATTAATATTATGTTTAGTTTGGAGAATGCAATATAGAAACTTATGAAGGACATCGTTTCCAATAGCAGGGAGAGAGAAAGAGATAGAGAGAGAGAGAGAGATAGAGAGAGAGAAAAAAAATAAGGGACATTGCTGTGGTACGAACAAAAAAAGACAAATAAATGTCTTAAATAGTTGAAAAAGGAGACCTTGTCTTGTCAAGCAAAATAAAATGTTATATCTGTGTGTCTACTGTGCATGTAATATCTTATTGGGACAATGAATAATCCACACAAAAAAGGCGGAATACTAGGCCTATCTACAGGATATCATATGCGCTTAAAAATATGCGTTTATATCAGTCTATTTATATGCACATTTAAAATCAATTTCTGGCGACTATCGACAAAATTTAAATAATTTCTAAAAATATATAATGCGAAGTAGTATTTGTAGGAAACCTGCTTTAAACATATGCATTTATATGAATTGATATCATTATCACATTAAAATCCAGTATATTCACATGACTCATGTTTCTTATTATCAGTACTGAAAGTCAAATATATCGTTATTAGCATAATAGTGACTACTGACAATAAAATGATTTCTATTTCTTTTTTAAATGTGAAAAACATTTATCCACATGTTTTCAGTTTGAAGTTTGCAAAACTATTAGGGAAAAAAATGATTCCAATACAAATCGTGTTTGAGTATACCTTTGATTTTGATGCCTTAGAGGCCATCGTTAAGTAGAACTCATCACTCAGCTCTACACTGTACAGACACAGTGATCGAAGATGAGGCATGAAGCAGAGACCTCTCGCGTAATGAGAGGATGCAGCAGAACCCAGATCTGCTTCCCGGTGATTTAGCTCCTCAATCTGGTGATGTGACAGGACAGGTTGAATAGAGTGAATAGTATTATCAAGAAAAGACGACATGTCTTATTTAAATATTTGTCATTGTCATTAATGTAACATCATTAACCTCTAAATAGACTTTTAAAGTAAGGGGAAAAGAAAAGAAGGGAAAAAGAAAAGAAGGGAGAGAGAGATGGAGAGAGAGAGAGGGGTTAAAAAGCCCAAGGAAAATGGGGGGGTTGTAAAAGCAATGAAGATGAGATGAAGAAAGACAAACAAATGTGATTAATTATGAATAGTTAGAAAAGAAATGGAGTATCTGATCAAACAGAATGAAAAAGATGCTATTTCTTTCTATTTACAGTGTACATGTAATATCTCTTTGAGACTATTGACAAACTATAAATAATTTCTAAAAACAAAATGCAAAATTCTATTCATAGGATACATGCTTTAAAAACACACATTTATATGAATTTGTATCATTATGACATTAAAATCTAGTCTATTCACTCATGCTTCTTATTATCAGTATTGTACAAGTTTTATATTGATATGAGGATAATTGTGACTAATGACAATTAATTATTTCTTCTTTTTGTTTTAATGTGAAGAGCATTTATCGACATAATTATGTTCAGTTTGAAGATTGCAAAACTATTGGGGAAAAAAAAATGTTTCCAATACAAATCGTGTTTGGGTATACCTTTGATTTTGATGCCTCATCGGCCATCGTTGAGTAGAACTCATCACTCAGCTTTACACTCCCCAGACTCAGTGATTGAAGATGAGGCATGAAGCAGAGACCTCTCGCGTAGTGAGAGGATGCATCAGAACCAAGCTCTGCTAGCTCGTGCTGTAGCTCCTTAATCTGGTGATGTGACATGACAGGTTGAATAGAGTGAATAGTATTATCAAGTATAGACGACATGTCTAATTTGTTTTAATTTATTGTCATTAATGTAACATCATCAACCTCCACTTAGACTTTCAAGCAAGGGAAAGAGAAAATGAGAGAGAGAGAGGGATACTCAGACAGAGATAGAGAGAAAAGGTCCAAAAGTGAAATGGGTGTGGTAAGAGAAAAGAAACACGAGATGAAGAAAGTCCAATGTGATTAATTAAGAATAGTTGGAGAAAAAAAAAGAGTGTCTGTTCAAGTAGAATAAAGATTGTTATTTATTTCCATCTACGGTGTACATGTAATATCTCCTTGAGACTATTGACAAATTATGAATATTTCTGAAAAGTTAATATGATATGTGCTTTAAAAATAGGCATGTATGTGAATTGATATCATAATCACTTTAAAATCAAGTCTATTCACATGACTCATGCTTCTTATTATCAGTTTTGTAAGATTATTATGTTGATATGAGCAAAATAGTGACTAATGATACTAAATTGATGTCTATTTCTTTTTTAAATGTAAAAAAAACATTTATCCAAATATGTTCAGTTTGAAGATTGCAAAACTATTGGGGGATAAATATTGTTCCAATAAAAATCGTGTTTGGGTATACCTTTGATTTTGATGCCTCAGAGGCCATCGTTGAGTAGAACTCATCACTCAGCTCCACAATGTCCAGTCTCAGTGATCGAAGATGAGGCATGGAGCAGAGACCTCTTGCGTAATGAGAGGATGCAGCAGAACCCAGATCTGCTTCACTGTGCGTTAGCTTCTCAATCTAGTGATGTGACAGGACAGGTTGAATAGAGTGAATAGTATTATCACGTATCGACGACATGTCTAATTTAAATATTTGTTAATGTTATTAAAGGTACTATGTCCCTTTTGCAGCCAACCTCAAATTCTGTAAAACTTTGCAGGAATTATGAATATGTCATGTATGTCCTATCTGTGAAATTTAAACGTTAGCAGTGTCCTCATATTCAAATTATGCAAGGAAACCCGCTTACTTGCTAGACTTCAATGTCAGACACTAATGAGTGACTGGCTGGCTTTTTTTCTTCCTTGGTAATAACATACATGAAAAGAGTTTTGTAAAGGGTACATGAGCGTTCGTCTACGTCAATAACCCACTTCTTGTGATGGTCAAGATTAAACTGATTGAATCTTTGCGCAGCATAAAACGTATGACCATTCGGTACAATTGTCTGAAAATCAAGACTATTACTTTTGGGCTCTATAGCCCTAAAGTCGATTTGACAACTAAAAGTCATTATTTTCCCACTTGAAGACATTTTCACCCACCTTTTTTCCGGGAAGTTCTAAATTAGTATTATTTTTCAAATTTTCATTTTTCATTTTTTTGGCTTGCAAAAGGGAAATAGTACTTTTAATGTAACATCATTAACCTCTACTTAGACTTTTGAAGCAAGGGAAAGAGAAAATGAGAGAGGGAGAGAGAGAGAGAGGGATAGACAAACAGACAGAGTCAGAGATAGAGAGAAAAGGTCCAAAAGTGAAATGGGTGTGGTAAGAGAAAAGAAACACGAGATGAAGAAAGTCCAATGTGATTAATTAAGAATAGTTAGAAGAAAACAAGAGAGTGTTTGTTCAAGCAGAATAAAGATTGTTATTTCTTTCCATCTACAGTGTACATGTAATATCTCCTTGAGACTATTCACAAACTATGAATATCATCACAAGAAAATAATGTGTAGTTCTAAAGGCCCGGTCACACAGAGGGGACGCATGCGGGACGCACGGCCGGCGCATGGAAAATTTCCAATTTTGGCCAGTGCGTTGTCGTTCGCTAGGCGTGCGTCATCACTCGTTACTCGTTCGTCGAGCGCGCTGGACCAACGCCGGACCAGCGCTATGCATTCGTCGTCATTCGCTGTGTGCGTCGGGATTTTTTGAGCATGCTCAAAAGTGTGCGCGGAGCTCGACGCATGAATGTACACGCCAAAGGCACGCCAGACGTGCGTTGAGCGCGCTAGACCAGCGCCAGACATACGCGGGGCACACGCCCTGTATACGCACAGCGCGCTAGCTACACGCTGTGCATTTTGTGTCAGCTCGCTAGCTTTTCCAAAATCATGACAAAAGTTAGGCACACGGCCTTTTCCGATTTCCAATGCGCTGGCCGTGCGTCGTAGAACGCGGTGCATGCGTGGACCATTCGTCCAGCGCGCTAGCAACACGCTGTGCATTCGTGGAAGTTGTTATCATGTGCGCTCTGTGTGCGCCCTGTATGCGCCCTGTATGCGCTCAGCGCGCTAGCAACACGCTATGCATTTGGTGTCAGCTCGCTGTAGCTACGACAAAAGTTGGGCGCACGACAACGCACTGGCCAAAATTGCAAATTTCCAATGCGTTGGCCGTGCGTTCCCCATGCGTCCTCCATGTGTGACCGGGCCTTAAAGAAAAATTCTAGAATGACTCAAATGACTGAGAGTGAGAATCGATTGAATTTATATAATCATGACACTGAAGTAAATTCTATTCAAATGATTTACTTTCATGATTAAAAGCATGGTCAGATAACTTTTTTTATAATGAGCGTGGCTTTGACTATTAACCAAACATTATTTTTGAAAAAAAGGATGAATTAATATTATGTTTAGTTTGGAGAATGCAATATAGAAACTTATGAAGGAAATCGTTTCCAATAGAAGGGAGAGAGAAAGAGAGATAGAGAGAGAGAAAAAAAAAACTAAGGGCCATTGCTGTGGTACGAGCAAAAAAAAACAAATAAATGTCTTAAATAGTTGAAAAGGAGACCTTGTCTTGTCAAGCAAAATAAAATGTTATATCTGTGTATCTACTGTGCATGTAATATCTTATTGGGACAATGAATAATCCACACACAAAAAAGCGGAATACTAGGCCTATCTACAGGATATCATATGCGCTTAAAAATATGCATTTATATCAGTCTATTTATATGCACATTTAAAATCAATTACTGGCAACTATCGACAGAATTTAAATAATTTCTAAAAATATATAATGCGAAGTACTATTTGTAGGAAACCTGCATTAAACATATACATTTATATGAATTGATATCATTATCACATTAAAATCCAGTATATTCACATGACTCATGCTTCTTATTATCAGTATTGAAAGTTAATTATATTGTTATTAGCATAATAGTGACTACTGACAATAAAATGATTTCTATTTCTTTTTTAAATGTGAAAAACATTTATCCACATGTGTTCAGTTTGAAGTTTGCAAAACTATTGGGGAAAAAAATGATTCCAATACAAATCGTGTTTGGGTATACCTTTGAGTTTGATGCCTCATCGGCCATCGTTGAGTAGAACTCATAACTCAGCTCTACTCTGTACAGCTCCAGTGATTGAAGATGAGGCATGAAGCAGAGACCTCTCGCGTAATCAGAGGATGCAGCAGAACCCAGATCTGCATCAAAGTGCCTTAGCTTCTCAATCTGGTGATGTGACAGGACAGGTTGAAAAGAGTGAATAGTATTATCAAGAAAAGACGACATGTCTTATTTAAATATTTGTAATTGTCATTAATGTAACATCATTAACCTCTAAATAGACTTTTAAAGTAAGGGGAAAAGAAAAGAAGGGAAAAAGAAAAGAAGGGAGAGAGAGATGGAGAGAGAGAGGGGTTAAAAAGCCCAAGGAAAATGGGGGGGGGGGGGTTGTAAGAGCAATGAAGAAGAGATGAAGAAAGACAAACAAATGTGATTAATTATGAATAGTTAGAAAAGAAAGGAAGTATCTGATCAAGCAGAATGATAAAGATGCTATTTCTTTCTATTTACAGTGTACATGTAATATTTCTTATTATCAGTATTGTACAAGTTTTATATTGATATGAGGATAATTGTGACTAATGACAATTAATTATTTCTTCTTTTTGTTTTAATGTGAAAAGCATTTATCGACATAATTATGTTCAGTTTGAAGATTGCAAAAGTATTGGGGGAAAAAAAATGTTTCCAATACAAATCGTGTTTGGGTATACCTTTGATTTTGATGCCTCATCGGCCATCGTTGAGTAGAACTTATCACTCAGCTCCATACTGTTCAGAATCAGTGATCGAAGATGAGGCATTGAGCAGAGACCTCTCGCGCAATGAGAGGACGCAGCAGAACCCAGATATGCTTTCTTGTGCACTAGCTCCTCAATCTGGTGATGTGACAAGACAGGTTGAATAGAGTGAATAGTTATATCAAGTATAGATGTCTAATTGAAATATTTTTCATTGTCATTAATGTTACATCATTTTACCCTCCACTTAGTCTTTTAATGCAAGAGAAAGAGAAAGAGAGAGAGAGAGAGAGAGAGAAAAAAAACAGAGAAGAGGGACAGAGATAGAGAGAAAAAGGCCAAAAGTGAAATGGGTGTGGTAAGAGAAAAGAAACACGAGATGAAGAAAATCGAATGTGATTATGAAAAGTTGGAAAAGAAAGAGTGTTTCTGTTCAATCAGAATAAAGATGTTATTTTTTCTATCTACAGCGTACATAAAATATCTCCTCCAAACGAATGACAAACTATCAATTATTTTCTAAACCACACATTTATATAAATAATTATTCACATAGTTCATTTTTCTTGTCAGCATGTTCACACTATCCAATCTAGTCTATTCACATGACTCATGCTTCTTATAATCAGTATTGTAAAAGTATTATATTGATACGAGCATAACAGTAACTAATGAAGATAAATTATTTTTAATTCTCTTGTTAGTGTGATTTTTTTTTATCCACATACATGTATGTTCAGTTAAAAGAATGCAAAACTAGGAAAGAAAAATGATTGTTTCCTATACAAGCCGTGTTTGGGTATACCTTTGATTTTGATGCCTCATCGGCCATCGTTGAGTAGAACTCATCACTCAGCTTTACACTCCCCAGACTCAGTGATTGAAGATGAGGCATGAAGCAGAGACCTCTCGCGTAGTGAGAGGATGCATCAGAACCAAGCTCTGCTAGCTCGTGCTGTAGCTCCTTAATCTGGTGATGTGACATGACAGGTTGAATAGAGTGAATAGTATTATCAAGTATAGACGACATGTCTAATTTGTTTTAATTTATTGTCATTAATGTAACATCATCAACCTCTACTTAGACTTTCAAGCAAGGGAAAGAGAAAATGAGAGAGAGAGAGAGAGAGAGGGATACACAAACAGACAGAGATAGAGAGAAAAGGTCTAAAAGTGAAATGGGTGTGGTAAGAGAAAAGAAACACGAGATGAAGAAAGTCCAATGTGATTAATTAAGAATAGTTGGAGAAAAAAAAAGAGTGTCTGTTCAAGCAGAATAAAGATTGTTATTTATTTCCATCTACGGTGTACATGTAATATCTCCTTGAGACTATTGACAAATTATGAATATTTCCTAAACCACACATTTATATGATTAATAATTTGTCACAATAAAGTCCAGTCTATTTCACGTGATTCATTTTTCTTGTTGTCAGCATGGTGAGACTATCATATTGATATGAGCATGCTTCTGACTCATGACAATAAATTATTTCAAAAAACATGCAAAATACTATTCATAGGATAAGTGCTGTTAAACACGCCTACAGATCTAAAAGGTAGTGCACTAGCTTCTCAATCTGGTGATGTGACAAGACAGTTTGAATAAAGTGAAATAGTAATATCAACGTGTTTAATTGAAATATTACTTATCTTTATGGTACTACATCATGATGGTATGTCATGGATATATATACTTAGACTATGATGGGCTTTTTTTCAGCTAAATTGAAACACACAGAATGAGTAAACCAAATATTTTGTAGAAGAATGACATTGTGTACATGGAAAGGAGAGTAAAACGGATCACCCAATCTCATTATTTTCCTTCAAAATCTACTTATTGCATGCTTTTTGAATTTTTCTTTCACCTTTATCAAATAGAAAGATAAAAGAGTGTGTTCTTCCATTTAAGTATAACAACTCAATAATATGAACAGATATTAATTAAATCTACGATAACAGAAGATAATAATGTGCGAGACGATGAGAACTTATTGATAATTGAAAATCATTACATAATTGTTCTATTGTCATATGCCATATGAAAAATAAAGCAAACTGATTTATGATAATCAATAGTTCCTACTTGGCAATTTCTTTCAAGTAGAGAAACGAGGGAAATAAAGCAATATCGGGGGATATTGACAATGGCCGAGAGATAGAGAGAGAGAGGGGGTGTGGTATTAGAGCTAAGAAAGAACGATGAGGTGAGAATGTGATAGATACATTATGTGCATTTGTGATACATACATTCAGAAAAATGGCAAAAGAGAGGGGACAGGGTCTGTTTGAGCAAATGAAACTTAATGCACTATTCACATATTATGAAATAAAATGTAATTTCAGATTCAAAGAAAAAACGGATCTTCAAACAACAAAAAAGAAATCATTATATTTCATATCCAATGCCGGAGTAAAATTTTTAGAAATGAAATTTCCCCGAAGGAAGAAAAAGAAATTTCAGTTTACTGAGGAAATTATGCACAGCAGAAACATTCTTTCTCATTTTCTTATCTTATAAACCTATTTTCATGTGAGTCTCTATGTATTCATTAGATACTCAGCTATATAGATAATAGTCAGTGTTTTACCTTCTGAATATGCATGACCTAATACAGTGAAAGTAAAGAAAATTTTAATTCCTTTTCAAGTTAATCTCATATTCGTTAATATTGTAGAAGAAAGTTGCGCAACAGTGCCTTTTCTCGTTTGCCAATTAATGTAGAATTTACTTAATATATTGTAAGAAAAGCCTAAAATGCGTCAGAAACAAAAACAGAAACAAAAGCAGAAATCTTGGTGTGGGGGGGGGGGGACAAAAAATCTGAGCCAATGGTGATCCATTTATTTCAGCATGCAATTCACTTTTTGGACCCTCATTTACGTCGCCAGGGGTGGGGTAGGGCGGCGGACGACACTGTTTTATCCTCTCTTGTTAATTTGACAGTTATTACAGTTATATGATTTAAAAAACGATATTACTTGTTGAAAGTTATCAATATTCTAAAATCACTAGTAAAAAATGGAATTATGTTCAATCATGATCATAATTAGAGACCGACTTTTCCTCTAACATAAGAATAATGGTGTCCAGCTTTATCTCTTCGGCTACCGGTATATATATTACAAGAGATGTGAATCCAGTTGCCCTTAAGTTTGGCTTTTACATCACTGGAAAATTTGTGAGAAAATTTTCACAATTCAAGAAGTTTTTGCCAATAATTTGACTACGGTACCTTCAATAGATGTGTAGGGGCGCACTGTGGGCAAGAGAAGGTGTTATGGGAACATTTGTTCCTATCTAATCCTACATCCTAGAGTGCGTGGAGTGGTGATTACAGCCCATATAAACTTATATTCCTAATGGAAAATCGTCAACAAATTTTAACCTAAACAAACAATAAATATGAAGAAGAAAAAAGAAGAGAAAGAAGATGGTGAAATTTGTTTCTTCACAGACTTAGGGGGGGGGGGGGTCAAAGACTTTGACTGGGGTCACATTTTCCACCTCTGTCCAAAGCACCGCCAAATTGTGACAAATTAAGAGAAAAATGACAAAGAAAGATACATATTTAAGATAAGTAAAAAGGAAAAGGAAGAGAAAGAGGGCAAGACCCTTTTACAAGCCTTTCATAATGCTTACCGGTAGATTCCCACCTTTGTGAAAAGCAGTGAACAAAGTTATGAGTGTGAATAACCAAATTTTGTTGATGATTGTATTTTTTAAAATTAAGCAACAAATAGGAGTATGCATCGATTAAGAAATAATGGTAGCTATGATTTAGGATTCATCGATATAATACAATAAATAGGCCCCTTATACCTTGGACTGTGAAGCTGCAGCAGACATTCCTGTGTAGAATTCATCATCCAGGCGCACATGTTCAAAGACCAACGATCGTAAGTTCGGCAATGTGAAAAGACCTACTGCTGCTACATGTGACGATGATGCATTAGCTTCACAGGACTTGCTAACACCCAATGTTCCACGAATCGAAGAACTCCTTCCTACCTGTGCAACAAATAGAACAAATAGAATTTTAGCATTTGATCTGTAAATTTTATTTCCGATATAATTTCTGTTTAAATTTTAAATTAGTTTTGCGTGTGTCCATTTATAGTTTACAGTTTTAAAAAAAGAGAGACCATGGTGTATATTGTTTTCACCACAGACAGAAGGCGTGGATGTGTGTTAATACTAAGGATATAAATATACCAAGACCAAGAAAAGAATGAATCAAATGTTTGAAAAATATAAATTGAATCAAATTTGAGTTATATATAATCATAATGTGAATGTATGAAGTACATGAACGAACGATAACGATTATAAAGGCATATTCAAAATATAACATGACCTACATCAGATTTGTAGTTTGTTTGGTTGGGTGATCTATTTCCTGTGAAGGATGTGAGTGTGGGTGTGCGGGTTTCATTGCTCTAAAATTTCCATGTAATATTGTTTTCCTTCCTTTTTTTAAAGGAAAGTCAAGTTTTACACTTATATGAGGAAGAGGTAAACGATGATAGGACTCTCGCTCTTGTATGAGACTATAATTACACATTGCAGCCTGCTATAATACCTAATAACAACAGGAGAACATGGCAGGTTCTAAATGAGTATCGGTCAGTAGAACAGAAAAAAAAATAGACAATGCATTGTGTAGGTCTCTTGTATTTGTATTTTCTTTGTAGCGAAATTTGCATATATGATCACTGGAGGCTCAACAGATGACAGTATTCCCTCAACATGATAACATTTCACAACTACATATAAATGAAAATGAGATACGTCTGTAATTCTATTCACTGAACTTACTACTTCTTGCCCTATCGACTCCAGTGTGAAGACCAGTGCAGCGATTGGATGAGTATAATCTAACATTAGATGTGCCTTCGTCTTCAAAAAATTCCTGACGGGATCAATGGCTTCTGAATCATGACATTCAAAAGCAACCTGAATGATGAATTTCATGTCATCAACTTTCTTGCATAGAGCTTCCAGGACCGACTTTCCTACTTCACCTCCGTGAGCTGCAGTGAAGTACAAGACATATCTGAATTCCATGTTCCTGTAGTTTTCTAAAAGAGTGTCTGCCAGGATTCTGTTGAATTCTTGACAATCTTTGTGAAACAGCGATGCAAGGTAGAAACTTGCTATGTACTCCTGCAGTAACTTATGAGGGAAAGAGAATTCCTGGATGAATTGCTTTCGCTGACTTTCTCTGATTTGCAAGGGTGCTGGCCTTTTTTCCATGCTAAGAATCCCGACCTCGCATGCAGTCCTTGCAGCCTCTATGCATGAGTCGAGCGCCTTTTCATCGAAGATGAGCTGTTTAGCCAACAGACCTTGAAATGCGATACAACCAAGCTCTTTCATACTTTCATCAGCTTTGTTCATGCGGCTTTCATAGCTCTCTTCTAACTCATTTCGTTTGGAAGAGTATTGCTCTTGAAGTGAAAAGACAAGATGCTTCAAGAGTTGCGAGAATGTTTCCATTGTCTGAATATTTTCCCGCCCAGATGGCGTTTTCCACAGGCAACATAGCATACAACAGAATATCGGGAAGGGTGCCATGTACTCAGAAACCACTTGGTTTGTATCAATGAAGTTAATGAGGGTCGAAGCAGACTGAGAATCATCTTTGAAATAGTTTTTGATATATGTTGAAATGTTTTTCTCTGTGAAGCCCTTAACCTTACCAAACGTGTAGTGGTCATTAATCGTCATGATGCTCTTGATCTGATCAGCTCCAAAAGGACGCGTTGTGATGACAACTGGGGTATCAATGAATCGTTCTCTTCTTACGATCGATACGATAGCGTCATTGCAGTTTGGCTTTTTGATGTCGATATGTGCCTCGTCTAGTCCGTCCAATAAGATTAGGACTTTTCTCGGATTTTTCCTCACATATTCATCGACCCGTTCCCCTTTTATTTCGGAGTCATCTGGGAAATGCGCCATGACAGTATCCCCGAAGA